ATCTTGAAAAAACAATATTTTGTTTTATATGGAATCAGGAAATGCCTTGAATAGCCAATACATTATTTAGAAATAAAAACAAATCAGAAGATATCACTTTACCAGACCTCAGGCTATATTGTAAATCTATAGTGATCAAAACAGCATGGTACTGACACAAAAATAGAGAGATAGATATATGGAACAGAATAGGGAACCAAGAGATGAACCCAGCTGCTTATTGTCATTTGATCTTTGATAAGCCTATCAAAAACATTCAATGGAGGAAAGATTCCCTATTTAACAAATCGTGCTGGGACAACTGGATAGCAACCTGTAGAAAACTGGACTCTCACCTTTCACCAATAACAAAAATTAATTATCACTGGATAAAAGATTTAGACTTAAGACATGAAACTATAGAAATATTAGAAGAAAGTGCAGGGAAAATGCTGGAAGATATTGGTCTAGGAGATTATTTTATGAGGAGGACTCCCCTGGCAATTGAAGCAGCACCAGAAATATATTACTGGGATCTGATCAAGCTAAAAAGCTTTTGCACAGCCAAGAGTACAGTAAGTAAAACAAACGGACAGTCTTCAGAAATTTTTCAGATCAAGATTCTGACAAAGGTCTGATAACTATAATCCACAGAGAACTCAAATCAATAAGAAAAGAACAATCCACCCCATTTCCCCATGGGCAAGAGACTTGAATGGAAACTTCTCTGAAGATGACAAATGAATGACCATCAAACACATGAAAAAATGCTTATCATCTTTTATCATCAGAGAAATGAAAATCAAAACTACTTTGAGATATCACCTAACTCCAACCAAGATTAGCCCACATCACAAAATCCAAAAACTGCAGATGTTGGTGCGGATATGGAGAGAAGGGAACAATTCTATACTGCTGGTGGGATTGCAAACTAATACAGCCTTTTTGGAAAGAAGTCTGGAGAATCCTCAGGGAACTAAAAGTTGACCGACCATTTGATCTTGCAATTCCTCTACTAGGTTTCTACCCAGATGATCAAAACCAATTTTATAATTGCCAAGTAACCCAAATACCCATCAAATCACAAATGGATTAACAAACTTTAGTATATGTATACCATGGAATACTATGCAGCCATAAAAATGACGGAGACTTTACAGCTTTTACATTTACCTGGATGGAACTGAAACACACTGACCAAAAAAAAGTATCCAATATACTCAATACTATTGTGAAACCAATATATCATCACCTATACATCCATATTAATGATAAAACACAACTATGAAAGATGGACTGGAGAGTTGAGAAAGGGGAGAGGAAGGGGGAGGGTGGGAGGAGACAGAGTATTTGGTGGGGACTCACCTATTGTGCATAATGCAATGGTACATTACTTTCTTTTTTTATTAAATCACAACTGTGTACATTGATGCATTTATGGAGTACAATATACTAATTTGATATATAATAGTAAATGCTTACATTGAACTGATTAACACCTCTATCACCTTGCTTACTTATTTGTTGTGGTAAGACAATTATATTCTTTTCTTAATAGTTTCAAAATGTACCATTGGATTATACCTATTAGGTGAGGTCCCCCCAAAACCCTCCCTCTTCCTAGGGTCTCCCCTCTATTCCTCTCTCCCTCCTCTCTTCTCCTACTTTCTGGACTATAGTTTTGTTTTACTATTCATATAAATGTGTAGGTGATTGTATATTGATTTCATAGTAGTATTGAGTACATTGGATATTTTTTTTTCCATTCTTGAAATACTTTACTAAGAATATTGTAGCAGTCCGTATAGCTTATGGCTAGGAGGAGTGAGAGTTATAAGAAATATCTGTAATGTAATAGCTTGGTGAAAAGGGCATGGAGAGAGATTTTGTTCTAACAAGCATAAGAGAGCTTGCGAGATGAGAGCATTGGTGAATTGGCAGTCTCTACACCTGTGGTGTTGAGAAGCACGAGCTCAGCCTTATGTTAGGCTGGAGGAGAAGGCAGTCAAGAGGCATTCCCATTCTATCACGAATCCACTTACTCTGACTCTGTCTCCTTTCCTGCCTGCAGAATGCCAGCACAGCGTCTCTGCTGAAGATTACCAAGCTCTGCTAAAGACTAAGAACTATCTGTTCTAAGAAGACTTTTACTCTCTCCAAGATATTCTGTCTCTCTCTCTCCAGCTAAAGTAGATAGCCCTCAAGCACCTACGAGAAACTGTTCCTGAGCAAGGTAGCTTAGTGGTCCGTGTCCAGAACCTACCTAAGCTGGGCCTGAGACCTGGCCAGTCCCGGGCCTTGACAATATGTAATATGGTGCATGTCCATTCTATGAAAAGGATCAGTTAGGGAGGTGGTCAGTTTAGGAGGTGGCCAGCTGTAGAGGTTCTACTGTACAGGTTCTAGGTCAACTTAAGGAGGTGGGCAGTGTAGGAGGTGGTCAGCTGTAGAGGTTTTACTATATTTTTAAAATGGCTTTGTGTGTGTGTTTGGTTTTAAAATTGTAACAAATCTTACTGTTGCAAAGAGGGCAAAAGCAAAAAGGGGAGTTTCCTGTGCTAAGCATCAGGCACCACATTGTCACTGCTTTTGTGTATGCTTTGGAGTTGGGCTATTTACATTTATATTTCTATTAAAAATGCACAAATATAAGTACACATATTATTTTAACCCAATAAACAATTACAAAGTTGTAGATTTAGTGGAAATAAATTTAAAAATTTCCGCCACAACACCTGGCTATTTTTTGGTTGTAGCCGTCATTGTTTTGGCGGGCCTGCCTGGGTTGGATTTGAACCTGCCACCTTAGGTGTATGTGGCTGGCACCTTAGCCACTTGAGCCACAGGCACTGAGCCTAAAAAATTATACCATTTTTGAATAAATGTATTAATACTAAAGGTAGCACTTTTTAAGAATTAACCCATTCTTTTTGAACATTTTTACTCAGATCTTAGGATAAGATAAATTGTTCAAATAGTATATAGTATTAAAGAGTTACAGAGAAGTAGCATTTAAAAGGTCTTTATGGTATCATTTGAATAAGAGAAATGCAATTCATTAGCATTTCTACTTTAAAGAATATACTTTCTTTGATAATTGACTTAATATTATTAATACTTTGTTCTATTTTATTATTATTCTATTGGTCATATATTAGGAAACAATTCAGATTGATTTCTAAATGTCATTTTAAGATTTCCCAAACATTCATTATTTGCATATTAATCATTATTATTTTACAATTCTATTCTAGTTGCATATCACATTAAGTACTTCATCATTCTAGCTTGCTACCGATTAATATACTCTCTTTTAATATTATAATTTTGGTCTAGGTTGCTCTTATTTCAGAAGTGGTAGGAGAAATACCATACTTTTATTTTTTAATAGTAGTAATGATATACAATAAAGTATTTAAAAAATAAAGAAGGTGAGATTCATATATTACTAAGTTCATCTTCTCCAAAATGAATCAAACATGTACTAAGGAAAACTATAACAGAAATCAAATCAGTGATATCAAATACAGTAACAGGTCTGCACGGGTGAATGAGGTTAACAGCCCAGCAAATGCTCTGCTGGGGGAGAGTGGCCCCCTGCCCTGGGGTCATCCATCCGCAAGCGCTCGTGAGGGTGGGTTAGTGGAGCCATATTTCTATGATCACACGTCCCATTCAGCCTCTGCTTTCAAGCATTCAATGCTTATTATCAATATGGCCAATTTTCAAGTTCCTGTAAAGAATTATTCAGACTTCTTTCAGATTGAAAACCCCCCACAAAAGATAAAACAGCTAGATGGTGCCCTCTTGAAGAGAAGTCCATGTAAATATTAGTTGAATTTTATAATTCTTTATAACAATTCTTAAGAATTAGCAAAAAGCACAGTTCCACACAATAGTCAGCATAGAATTTTTGATTGATTAATAGGAGATGTTTAGAGATCAGCATTTTCACCTACATGCCCAGCTGAAGGCATGAGTAATTTTAGAGATTCCTTAGCTGATTCCTCATTGAAGCATAGACTAATTCAAAATAATTACAATAATGGTAGAAGGACATGGTTTTTGTCCTTGCTCAAGTGACCTACTACAAGTGTGTTCCAACTTCCTTTTATTTTTACATTTTAAATAAGAAACATTAATATTTTGCCAGTAGGTCTGTTCTTGAAGATGTTACAGTTGATGATTCTCCCAATCTGTGCACTGTATTCGTTTAATTACCTGCCATTTCACATTTGTCAGTAAGACAAAAGGGGACTAAAAATCAATAACATAATTTATAAGTGAAAATAGTCTGCCTTTACTTTACATGAGTGTATGCCACACAGAGTGAGCATCGTTTAAATTTCACCACAAAGCCAGTGGGAAATAATTGGTTATAACAGCAAAACCATTATTAAACAAAGGTTTGTGCAGTTTAAGGTCAGTTACGTAAGCCTCACATTAATTTTTGTATGATTTTTAAAGTTTGTTTCCATAGCACACTATAGAGGAAATGCTTTCTCAGAAGATTTATTTTTAATTCTTATAAAATGTCATTTATTAAATTATCTTAAGGTAAATATTATACTTTATTTGGAGTCCTGACAGAAAATATTTCAACATACATACTTTTTAATATTTGAAAGTTTCATTTATTATGTTCCCTAGAGTGTTAAAATGAACTGCATCTAATCTAACGCCATAGTATGATAGATCTTCACAGTGCAAACACTAATACCAAAAGTTACTCTCTAGCTGCGTTCTTCATAGAAAATCGTTTAAAACTATAGGGAAACATAGCTTTGGTTTTTTATAGATGAAATCATTTTAAAAAATTTTACATGTGAAATTGTGGGCAATTTTGGCACCCAATTTTTTAAAGGAAAATAGTCTTTCACATGTGGTGTTTGATAGATAATGATTTTAATAAGTCAAGATGGACTATTAAATTACTAAAACCAGATCCTTATAAAATTAGGGGGACCTTATGTTACCTTATACTTGTTATTCATTATTTCATTATTTATTTATCATTTCAGATTAAAAAAATCAACAGAAACTTTCCTGTAAACCAGCAGGTAAGAGCAGGAAATACTTGGAAAAGTGAAGTATGTATTTCTTTAATTTTATCTTTTATAGAAGATAATCTTGATTGTATCTGGTTTTCATACACAAATAATTGGTGCTATCATTTCCTATCTACAAAGGAAAATATTTAACTGATTCTTTCACGTAATATTATTTGTTCCTCTAATAGTTTTTTTTTTTTTTTTTTTTT